GTACTATTATAGTACTATAATAGTACTATAATAATACTATAATAGTGCTAGAATAGTACAGATGAGGATGTCTCAGACTGTGCCAAGAGATCTGCCGACAGAATCTGCACTCCGCGGTGTCCTTGCGAACTCTGGCGTCCAACTTCTGACCCACGACCGGCTCAAGCCTCAGTTTTTATCCACTCTGGCAGCACACCAGTGACATATATGTCCATGAGCATGAGAAGTGACAGGACAGGCCAGCCGCGACAACAACGACGGCGACAATGTCAACACCAACACAAATCGCCGACAACTTCCAGCGAGATGGAAGGGCTTGAACGCAGCATGGGAAAATGTTGACAAACATTGGGTCATTCCAGGAACCCTCATGTGCAACAACGGGGCACTGTGTTACATGCTTTCATGGTTTGAACGACTTTGGTTCATTTACCAGATACTCTTGCGGTGGGCATCTCATTGATGCTACTGGTAGTGACAACTACATTGGTGTAGCACAGAACTTGAAGGAGCTTCGTCAGACCATCCCTGCTTCGACTGCCGACGTGTACACGACCGTTTTCCACTTCAGCCCCGCAACGCTTCGTTGTGCACAGTTGCCGATTGCACATAGACTTGCATCACATGCTTGTGCTCACTGAAGCACTGTACTTTCTGTGCAGGTTTTCTCCTGTTTCACTTCAACCGACTCAGACTGCGGTACGAAAACAAAAGCACAAACCCCAAGCCGCCGCCAAAAGAAAGCAGCGGCGCCAAAAGCGACAGCGACGGCGGCAACTACGACGACGAAGACGACTACGCTACATGCTAACGCTTGCACTGCCCCGTGTCAGACCCGTTCAATCGCGCGGCAACGCTCACCATGGACCTAAACCCTAAACCCTAAGCCCCTGTTTGCATGAGGAGCGCACTCGACAGGGTCCTAACGGCTGCTCAACATTCAAAAAACCCCTAAACCCCTAAACCCCTAACCTTCGGCACAGTGTTGAAAAGCTCGACAGGCTTCCTCAGGCCAGGACTCATCGGACCACACGGCCCTATCCCGGTCCTCCGGAACCTCCTCCACGACCACGACCAGCGGTGTCCTGCCGACTGGAAAACTTTGGAGGGTTTTTGTTTCAAAGCATGAGCAAAGAGGCACATCTGGGTCTCGATGGTCTCGGGGTTCTGGGAAGCAGAGGACCTGCAAGCCAGGTAGTTTTTTCCCCGGCTTCCTCTGGGTAATTATGCAATGCTGTTGCATTTTGCAAAGCCACATGTCACGTAGCCACTACTCAGACACTCAGACAGCAGCGACCTACAACTGCATTCAAAATTCAGATGCAAGCGTTGGTCGCTCTTTGGTCGCCCCGGTCATTAAGAGTGAGGGGCCCGGAAGCTGAGGGCAAGCTCAGGGAAGCTGAGATGGTGCCCTCCAGGTCTCTGTTAGGTGGCTTTGCCAACGCCCACAGTCATAGTCAGCTTCTGCTGACAACAGCAGCAGCAGCCCTTGAGGCAATCCGAGACGACTGCCAAGGAGGAAACTTCCGAGCGGCGACTTGAGACGCTCTCCGGGGTGCTTCTTGCCGGAGATGCCCTTCCGGTCGAAGCCTCGCGGAGAATTATCATGATCACTGTAAGGGCTAACAGGGGCGTTTCCTCCTGAGTACAACGGTTTTGCTGCTACCAGTGCATCTAGAGTTAGTGGTTTCGTGATGACTTCCGTCCTTGTCTATGTACGAGTATCATGAGCCTGAGCACTAGTTTTTCAGTGTTAGCCTCATCACCACCATAGCGTCATTATGAGCAAGGCTGTGTTTGACTAATTACGTTAGTATGTTTGCTAGAAGTACGTCGTGTTCGTGCGGGTACGCATATGCGTGTGATACTAGTACTAGTGGTAAGTGTCAGTCAGTATCTCTGCCAAAATTTGCTCGCATGTGCTTTCGTTCTGCAGGTGAACACTTCGCTGAAGTGTGCCATTGTTGGAGTGGCAAGAACTGGCAATACGCGAAGGCTTAGTCTTACTCCACAGGTGCTCTCTCTCTCTCTCTCGCTATCTGTCGTCTTGGGGGGAGGCTCTGTTCAAGTCGTACTATACGGCGCGGCCCCTGCTGCCACTGCAGTGAGGAGTTTGAGAAAATGACATCCACAGATCTGGCCTTTCGCTCAAGAACAGACCCAATCATGGGGATGTTCGAGATGATGTTGTTCCGCTTCTGCTGCTGGGCATTCCCCTGGGTAATGGCCGTCTTCAGGACATCTGCCACCTTTCGGCGTGAGCGCTTTCAACTGAAAAGTCTTGCTGGGGCCAATGCTCAGGGTTGATAATAGGATTTAGAGCTATCCCAACCCTCGATAACCTTCAACATATGCTTACAACCCAAGGAACTCAAACCCGACAACAGAGAAGAAAACCATTCGGCCTCCAGAAAGCGCCCTTCCTTTGCAGCCCGGAGAGGTGTCAGCATCCCTTGCCCGGTCACTGTCACGGACCGCTCCTGCTGCTTTCGACTTGAGTTTACGGTGGGACGGTAGCTTTAAAGGTTTGTCTAAACCCTAAGCCCTAAACAGTAAACCCTAATTATTGCCTTGGATGGTTTACACACTCCCAAAAACTCTCAAATGCAGGCTGCGCTGTACAGGGCAGGGTTGGGAGGTGAGAGGCTGGCAAGCTGGCAGACTGGCGCTGCCAGCTGGGAAGCTGAGGCCGGGAGGCTCCAGAATGGAGGATGAAAGACGGCATGGCTTCCTTCATTTGGCTGACAGAATGGAGGGTGAAAGAAGATCTGGCTTCCTTCACCCCCCACCTCCCCCACCTCCCCCGCCCCTGATTGGCGAACAAAACGGAGGGTGCAAGAAGGCCGGGCTTCCTGAATCTCGCTGTTTGGGCAAAGCACGGACAGTGAAAGAAGGCCGGCCTTCCTCTCCACCCCGCTGCTTGGGCACCAAAACGGAAGGTGAAAGAAGGCCGTGGTTCTTTCACGCCGCTTCTTGGGCAACAAAGCGGAGGGTGAACCACCGCAAGCAAACCCTGCCAACACCCCCTGTGGGCTCCAGTAAAAAAGCTTCCTCTTTAAGCCTTATACCTGAAGTCTAAACCTCAGGGGATCTCAAACAGGTACATCGATAAGGGCCCCCGATAAGGGAAGTCTGATGTGTAGAGATGCCTCTACGGGAGCGTAACCCTCAGCCCAAACCCAAAGCCGGAAACCGCAAATTTCAAACCATCTCAAATCCCAAACTCCCTAAACCGTCAAGCCCCCTCAGGCAGATTGGATCCCCTCCCCTTCCAAGGATCATAATGGGCATCCTAAACTTGGAAATAATGTGCTTCTTCATCAGCGGTCTACATCACAGTCTGCACCCTGAAGCCCCTTGACCCTGGGAATGAGGGCGCACCTCAATTGGCCCCGACAGGGGCGGAACACTATATCCAGAAGCGGGATCTTCCAGGCTTAGTCGTGTCCAAGGCATGCTTTCTCCACAAATCCCACAACCCAAATCCCCGCCCAAAAAAAAAGGTGCTAACCTTAAAGCCGGATAGACCCGACCAAGCGCGCAAAGCATTGGTATAACTCCCAGAGCATTGTCTAATCCACTGAAGGATACGGACCTCTACGTCTAGGGCATGATACACACAACCACAAAGCGAAACAGACACACCACCTAAGCCCGCCAAAGAGAAGCACACCTTCTTCCTTTTTCAAGAAAAGGCGTCCGGATCGGCGCCGAACTCCAGCAAGAGCCGGACGATGCTCGTGTGGCCTTTAGAAGCGGCTCCACAAAGAGGGCTCCAACCTGGGTAGCTTTTAGGGTCCTTTTAAGGGCTCCTGAAAGGGTCCTATAAGGGCTACCTTAATGCACTCGCTCTACTGAAAACACTCGCTCAAGCGAACGCTCTTTTTTCCAAGTGGGGCGCAGCTCCAGCTGTCGGTGCCAGTTTTGACAGGAAGCAAAGTCTCTGCAGCCGAGGCCTTCGGGCCAAGACAACGGCAGAAGAGTCAGACCTGTCAGGACGCCTGCAGTATGTACTTCCCCGCGTCCAACATCAAACTGTCGCCAGGCCGCAGGTTTTACAGGTGCGACAGAAAGAAGCTGAACCATCGACGGCAGTGCCGACAGTGAAGTTGGCAGAGAAAATTTTACCACAGAGAAGACGACCGCTATCCTGTTTCAAAACGTGCTGAAGTCGAGAGGACTTGTTCGTGGCCACTGCGTAGTTCCCAAAGGACAGCAGGTTCTCAAGAAAGTGAGGGGCTGCGGCAACCTGCTGCTCGTCCTCATCGCCACTGTCAGAGGAAACCTGCTCGGAACCACTAGAGCTGCTGCTGTCAAAAACTTCAGAAGGGGCAGCTGGCCCGCTAGGAGCAGGCACTGAGTCAGAGCGGTGACTGTCTCCAGAACGGTTCAGTCTGTCAGCGGGGCTCGAGACCACAGAAACTGAGTCAGACACGCTAGAGGTGTCCTGCCAGCGACCACTCCTCGTAACGTCAGGGCAGAAAGAACCAGAAGCCACAGACTGAATCACTCTGCTAAGGTCGCGCAGGGGACCCGCCAGAACCGCCGAGGCTGGCCATGTTCCTGCCCTGGCTGTGGTGCCCAAGCAACGTCACGAGAGCAGTGGCTTTGCAACTGTGGCTCCTGACTTGCTGAATCAGGCCGTAATCAGCGTCAGGTGCACGGCTGAGAAGAGCTCGCAACCAGGTAGTCAGCGCAGCGCTGCTGAGACAGTCAGGAAGCCAGTTTCCCGTAGATGACAGGGCTGGGATCAAAGGATGATCCAAAGCACCTTCGTTCTGAAGCCCCAGGCGAGCCCTGGCAGCGAAGAACAGCGCTCCCCAGCTAGCGGAGCCCAAGCCACGGTAAACAGCAGTCAGCGGCAGGAAAAGGTTGCGTCGCGACGCCGCTTTCACCTGTTTGGGGTTCTTCACCTTGCACTCCACAAAGCCGTCAGAGCCGTCAGAGGTCAGGTCAAACTGCACGTGGGTTGCTCTGGCCAGGTCGCTCCGCCTGGCCCTTGCGAAAACCATGAAGCACAGAGTTGCCGCTACCAGGCGCTCGTAGTCGTCAGAGGCAGAGCCAGACAGGTACTCCAGCCACTTGACCTGAGCTGCGGAGAGCGGCGGCGCTTGGCTGACGGGTTCCTTAGTGCGCAAGTGGGTGTGTGCAAGACCACGAATCCTTGGTGACAGCAGGTCAGCGATGGGGACTCCCAGTCCTAAAGTGCCGCGCACGAAATGCAGGCTGCTGACAAAAATGTCAATGCTGCTGGGCGCGGCGGTAGTCTGCAACCAGCGGCAGTGCACCCAGACAAGTTGCTCGCTAGTCGACTCGTCTGGGCAGGCACGCCGGGCCCACAGCACAAACCGCATAAGCGGCTGGACTCGAAGCAGCAAGGTGTTAGTACTCTTACGGCTGAACAGCAGGTCAAGGTGTTCAGCAACTGCCTGGTCTCCTGTGTCAGGCAGCGAAGCAAGAGTGCGCTCCGAGAAAAGCTTGGGCGCAAGCCGTAGCAGGTTTGACCACTTGCACAAAGCCTGAAGGCGTCGGCGTCTCTCCTCAGCAGTGGACCAAGTGCCACCCTCTTTCGCCTTGGGAGGGGCAAAAACCTGAGTGGTGCCTGCAGACTGGGCAGAAGCACACGCAGACTGGGCAGTTTTGTGACTTTGTGACTTTGTGGGGCACGATCAGGCGCAGCTAGAACATTGCTAGCAAACTCCGGGCAAGCCACTACCAGAGAACTAGGAGGCAAGGAAACGGACAAGCCTGGGGAGCTAGGGTACCTAAGCGAGGGCAGCCTGCACAGGAAGCTACGCCATCACGGGCGAAGGGTTCCAACGCAGTCAAGGCAGAGATGCACACAGCTCCAAGCTGAAC